CGGGCGATTTATTTTGATTCAAACAGTCTATCTGCTTGATAACCATTTCGCTAGTGTCTGAAATATTACATAATTTATCTTCTTGAGGCCCACTAAAAAACCTAATTATTGGGATATTATTAGTATCTTCCTGAGTGAAAACCGAGAGAAAATAATTATTAACAACAGAGCACATTTCATTCTCTTTGTCAGTAAGATTCCAATAGTTATTTTTAAGGGGACCTATCTTGTCTCTAACTTTTGTTCTATAGACCTGGAAAAAACTTTTTGGGTTAGTTTTCGAATCCTTGGCAACTTTAATTTCGTAGTCCCGTTTAGCTTTTGTTTTCCTCTTTTTAACGTCCCTCTTAGTGTCAATATACTGATTCATAAGATGACCCTCATGTCTTTTGATACGCCTTTAAATTCCTTTCTTCTGCCCAAAAAGATATTTGAGTCTATTATTCATCCATTTTGGGTCATTTCTATTCGATCTAATTTCTTTATATGGGATAAATGTTCTTTGGGAAGCATGTATAGTGTTCGGAAAACTGTCATATTGATAGCTCTCTTCGTTACTCCAGTCCACAGATGATAAGTGTTCCCTAAGCTCATTGTAATTTGCTAAGCGAAAATCTGGGACCGTTACCGAGTTATCCCTACTGTCATACTTCCATTCTATGCTAAAGGTAAATGATTTGTGGTTGCTTGCGCCGAGTTCTACTGTAATTTCTAAATTATTAACAAGGGTTTCCTTGTTTGCTAGGACCAAGTCAAGCAGGTTATTTTCCTTTGTATGTTCTGTCAAAAACTGCTTCAAAAAAATATTCCTGAACTACTTCTAAGAAGTCGTTAGATTCTGAATTCCCAGTCAAGAAATTTCAATCAATCTGACTAAAGATGAAGTCCCCTAGAATTACTATGTTATCGTGCATTGTGGCCTTAACAATTTCCTCTCAAAGTAGTCACCCTTGCTCCCTATCTAAGTTTGGGGGACGGTATATCACACCTAAAATCATTCTTTCATGCCCCTCTGAAAATTCTATCCAGACAGACTCAGTATGTGTTTCAGACTTTATACCTGTTTTTATACCTTCTTTCTGCTTGGAACAATTTAAAACCCTGATGACATTCAGCAGGCATGCCCTATTTTCCTTATTAAACCACGTCTCATTTATGGCAAAAACATCAGTGTTACCTACACTTGCAACTAATCTCAGTTCGTCCATTTATTTCTCGCACTACGACTATTGGTATAATATATTTTCGGAAACCCTCCCTTCTCTTTTCTCTTCTTACTGATTTTTATTCCTCCATTAGGCCTGTTGCTCTCCCTGTCACCTAATGCCACTGGCTTATCTATAATCACCAACATCTGTACCTCATTCTACCTATAACTGGTTTCCTTAAAAGTCACACTATCGATACACTCGGAATACATTGATTTTCCACAAAAACCCATGCCACTATCTATTTCTAGTTTAATGACTTAACGGCACCCTCCACTGTATTGGCCAGTGCTCCCACCCCAAACCTAGATACGTGAACCCCATCCCTGACATACATATCATTTCTGCTATAGAAGAGGTCCCAGTTGTCTATGAATGTTACTGCATTTTCCTTACAGTGTTTATCCAGCCAGCAATTGACACCAATTGCCCTGGACCATCATTCATTTCCAATTCCTCTCCTGGGAAAAATGCCACATATCACAGGGTTCCCACCCTTCTTCCTAATTATCCTTATTGCTGTTTTATACCTGCTAATCAATTCTTCACCCCTACGTCTGCCAACATTGTTGCCTCCCACACTGAGGCAGATAATAGGATTGCTCCCATTACCCTTCATGATATCGTCCAGACGGCTAACACTGTCCCCCATCCCAGCACCAGGAAAACATGTCCTTTGCCTCCTCTTCCTGTCCCTAACACAAAAAGCCCTATCCATAAATTTCACCTGAGTGTCCCCAACTTTAACAATGTTCTTACCTTCACTGACAGAGTTCGTAGTAGCATTCTCGATGGTTTTTGTTGGGGTTTCAAGGGATGTCGACTAGCCTTCCTCTTCCTTGGCATCGTTCGTCGTGACGTTCCCAGTAGACGACTCACATTCATCGGGTAGTGCAGAGAATGTGTTTTATGTTTGCGCAAAAGATTCCACAGCAGTCTCTTTCTACTTCATAGTTTCTACCTCTCCATTCGTCTTATTGATCTTCAACTTCATTCCATGCTGTCCGGCCACTGCCCAGGTTCCTTTCCTGACCTGAGGGCTCACAGCAGGAAGACTACTACGAATCCTCTTGTTTTCCTCCGTCAATCGCCGTATCTCAAGCTTGGCTACCCTCAATTCCTCCTTAAGCTGCTTGTAAAGTTGCTCAATGGAGGGTATCTTGGTTCACTGAGCTATGTACAGGTCACCACTGAGCTATGTACAGGTCACCAATTAGCTATGTACAGGTCACCACTTAGCTATGTACAGGTCACCACTTAGCTATGTACAGGTTACCACTTCGTATCATCAGCAAATTTGTTCATGCCACTTGTAATTCCTTCATCAAGGTCATTATGAACAGGAGAGGGCCTAAAACTGATCCTTGTGGAATGCCACTAGTGACTAATCCCCATTCAGATTTGACTCCATTAATGGAAACTCTTTGCTTTCTGTTGGTAAGCCATGCCTCAATCCATTTTAGAATTTTACCTCCTATACCATGAGCTGCCACTTTTCTTAAGAGCCTCTTGTGAGGTACTCTATTGAAGGCTTTACTAAAATCCAAATAAACAATATCATATTTTTTTATCACTGTCTACTGCTTCAAATGTTCTATTAAGAACGTCAGTAAATTTGTCAGGCAGGAACGACCTCTCGTGAACCCATGCTGAGAGTCATTAATCAAATTATGCTCTTAAAGGTGACTTCTAATGTCAGCTATAATTGATTCTAATAATTTACCTACTATGGATGTCAAGCTTATTGGATGGTAATTTGAAGGAATTGAGTTATCCCCTGATTTGAATATAGGAAACACATTAGCCAACTTCCACATCTCAGGCACAACACCAGTAAGGATGGACGCATTAAACACACTCGTTAATGGCTGACTGAGTATCATCTTGCATTCTTTAAGTACCTTGGAAAACAACTCGTCGGGTCCCGGGGACTTATTTTTCTTCAGTTTGTCCATCTGTTTAATAACCATGTCCCTCGTGACAGTAATATTAGTTAACTTGAATTCATCGGGAACTGAATATTTGTTAATTTATGGAATCTCATTTATGTCTTCCTGACAAAAAAATAGTCATTAAATAGGTAACACATTTCCAGTTCGTTATCCGTCAGGTGTCCATTCCCAATTTTCAGAGGTCCTACTTTTATCTTTACCGTCGTCCTGTACACTTGAAAGAACCTCTTTGGATTAGTCTTTGATTCATTAGCAACTCTAATTTCATAGGCACGTTAAGCCGTTCTAATACCCTTTTTACTTCTCTTTTAAGCTGAACATATTGGTCAGTAAGGTTAACCTATCCTCTTTTGATGCGCCTATAAATTCCTCTTTTCTTCCCTAATAGATGTTTTAGCCTTCTGTTAACTCATTTCGGATCGTTATTGTTAGACCTAATTTGTCTCTGGGAACTATATATACTCTGTGCATGTACATTATTAAGAAAAAATCATAAACACAGATCCCTTCGTAATCATATGATGATCGTCAATAAAATCATTAGCTAGATTACCCCAATCGAGATTAGACAGGTGTTCCATAAGTCCATTAAAATCGGTAGAACGAAAATCAGGGACTTTTACCATATTATCGTTCTTCTTGTATTCCCAGCTAATGCTAAAAGTGATCACTTGCGCCAAGCTCTTCAGCGATCTCCAGATTATTTGCGAGTGTTTCCTTATTTGACAAGACTAGGTCTAGCAAATTATTACCCCTGGTAGGCTCTGTCACGCACTGCTTCAGAAAACAGTCCTGAACCACTTCCATAAAGTCACTGGACTCCAGATTACCGGTCAAAGAAGTCTAGTCAATTTGACAAAAGTTAAAATCCCCTACTATCACTACGTTATTGTGTCTAGAAGCCCTAACAATTTCGTAACAAGAATTCGTTTTTCTTGACCTTCTACAAACACCACCCAAACAGATTCTGTTACTAGTCCACCTATTTTTATACCTATTTTTATGCAACAATTTATATTTTCTCGTATATATAATGCAACTCCTCCCCCTTTCCCATTCCATGTATCCACGTGGAACAACTTGAATGTTAGGCTCAGCAATCATATCCCGACTCTTTAAATCATACCATGTTTCAGTCATTGCAATAACATCAAAGTTCCCAGCACACGCTATCAAACGTAATTCATTAATCTTATTTCTTGCACTTCGACTGTTAGCATAAAATATAGTCATATGTCTGTTCTGCACCTTTTTCCTATTCACCTTTGCTTTTACATAATTTCTATAAATATTATTACCCAGCGTTACTCCATGACTGTTATTATTTAGTTTCAATGTATCCATACTTATTATTTTTCATTTCTAAACCCATACCTCTAACTAATCTTAGTTTAAAGTCGTAACAACCCCCTCAACTGAGCTAGCAAGAAAACCCACACCTGCCCTGGATAAGTGAACCCCAACCCTGGCATACACGTCATTTCGCCCATAGAAGTGGTCCCAGTGACTTGATAAAGCCTACTGTGTGGGCGAAACGTTGTCAATAAAGGATCACATAATACCGCTTATGCGTTTATTTTTGCATATAGTGACCCATTGACAGAACTGAGTATGCAAAAATCTCCCACTAACATCCTCGTACACTGACAGTGGGAGTTCAAGGTGAACATTATGAGTAACAACATCTGAAAGTACTTGTGAATAATCTTCATATGTGCATAACTTGTCTCACGCTTAGGAACACTCGTATAAACACAGGGTTTATTGGATCTCAGATAAAGAACAGCTGCCACGATCACATAGGTTGGGCGTACTTGTTTGAGTATATAAGAGAGAAAGAAACACCCATCATCACCACAGACTTCGACAGTCATGGCTACCGGTGTTCTGGTGAAGACCTGCCTGCTGGGGGCACTCGCCCTCGTCTGCATAGGTATGAACTACTTTAACTTAAACACACGCACACACACACACACACACACACACACACACACACACACACACACACACACACATACACACGGGCGACTAACAAATCTAAGAATAGCATTCCTACATCTCAGTAAGGAGGCGTTCAGGACTCTGTACACCGTGTACGTCCGACCCGTATTGGAGTATGCAGCACCAGTTTGTAACCCACACATGGCCACGCACGTTAGGAAATTAGAGAAAGTGCAAGGTTTTGCAACGAGACTATTCCTGGAGCTAAGGGGCATGTGCTACGAGGAGAGGTTATGGGAAATCGACCTGACGACACTGGAGGACAGGAAGGGCAGGGGAGACATGATAACAGCATATAAAATATTGAGAGGAATCGACAAGATGGACAGGAATAGGAAGTTCTAGAGATGGACACACCACCAATAGGTCACAGTTGGAGGTTGAAGACTCAGATGAGTCACAGGGATGTTAGGAAGTATTTCTTCATTCACAGAGTTGTCAGGAAGTGGAATAGTCTGGATAGGGAGGTGGTGGAGACAGGATCCATACATAACTTTAAGAAGTGGTATGTTAAAGCTCATGGAACAAGGGAGGAAGTGGCCTAGTAGCAACGAGTGAAGAGGCGGGACCAGGAGCTGTGACTCAACTCCTGCAACTATAAATAGGAGAATACACACAAAAGATGACAGGGAGAGTAAAAAGAGATTGATTATATCATCAAACAGGAGATGAGGACATGACCATTAAAGCTCATGGAACAAGGGAGGAAGTGGCCTAGTAGCAACGAGTGAAGAGGCGGGACCAGGAGCTGTGACTCAACTCCTGCAACTATAAATAGGAGAATACACACAAAAGATGACAGGGAGAGTAAAAAGAGATTGATTAAATCATCAAACAGGAGATGAGGACATGACCAAACTGCTAAATTTCCGGAGAATAGGGGGATATTCATAGTGAAGTAATCGGCTAGTCAAACTGATTTTCAAGAAAGAAACGGTGTGAAACAGGGTCCTGCAGCAGAAATCACAGCTAAAGAAAACAGCAAAATACCAGAGGGTGTACCTAGACTGCGACATAACGCAAACAGAACAACAGAAACTGAGAGGATACAAAGATGAAAAGGGCAAGAGAGACAAGGATAAAATCAGGCAGGGACAACCAGAGTCAGGAGGAACAGCAAGCACAACCACCCACAAATGTCCACAACCAAACATATTTATGGTGTCCCATAGCTCGATCAATCAAGACCTCAGCTCATGCACTGAGGTCTTGAGTTCGAATCTTCTCCGGTATGGCTGGAAAACATTAGGGATGTGTTTCCATAAGACACCTGCTGTCCTTGTTCACCCATCAGTTTAAAATAAGTACTTGGGTGTTAGTCGACTGGTGTGGGTCGCATCCTGGGCCAAAGTGACCTAAATTGCCTGAAATACTCTGCATAACAAGCGGTTTTCTATATGTCATTGATGTCAGCTAGGCCTGTATACATGTACATGTACTTGTAGTAAATAAAGATATCATTATATTATTTATATTAACCCAAAACAAACCACACTCACAGCTCCCATCCCCAGCACAAACCCCAACTACACAGTACCCTGCCAGGTCTCCCAATCCCCGAGGCCCCCTTCCCCAGAATACAATTTTGCGAAAGAAGCATAATGTATGGTACACCAATACAGACGAAATAACAAATAATTGTGAGGAGTGGCATGAATGAATCACAAAGGCCTCACCAGACATCATTGCACTAACGGAAACTAAGCTCACTGGAATAACAGATGCAATCTTTCCAGCTGGATATCGGATCCTGAGGAAAGATAGAGGGAATAGAGAGGATGGAGGAGTTGCACCGCTCATCAGAAACCAGTGGAGTTTTGAAGAATTGAAAGAAGGAGACAGAGGGGAAGCAAGGGATTACGTAGTAGGAACACTTCAGAATGGGGGTCCCAAGGTTGATTAGGGTTTGATCAACCAGGCTTTTACTGATAGGCACATGTAAACGGCCAGGGGACTATCGATAATCCTCTTTATATATGCTGGGAGGCAATTGAAAAGTCTGGGGCCCCTGACACTTATTGTTTCGTCTCTTAGTGTACTCGTGGCACCCCTGCTTTTTATTAGGGGAATGTTGCATCTCCTGCTGAGTCTCTTGGTTTCATAGGCAGTTATTTTCGAGTGCAAGTTTGATTTTAATCCTTCTAGGATTTTCCAAGTATATATTATTATTTATCTTTCTCACTTGCATTCCAGGGAATACAAATCAAGGGACTTTAATTGTTACCAGTAATTTAGGTGGTTTATTATATTTATGTGTGCCGTGTAGGTTCTCTGTACATTCTCCAGGTCAGCAATTTTGCCTGCTTTGAAGGGGGCAGCAGCCACATATACACAACCACCTGGACCAAACTCACTCGTGGGTGATGCAGCAGCCACATATACACCACCACCTGGACCAAACTCACTCGTGGGTAATGCAGCAGCCACATATACACCACCACCTGAACCAAACTCACTCGTGGGTGATGCAGCAGCCACATATACACCACCACCTGGACCAAACTCACTCGTGGGTGGTGCAGCAGCCACATATACACCACCACCTATACCAAACTCACTCGTGGGTGATGCAGCAGCCACATATACACCACCACCTGGACCAAACTCACTCGTGGGTGGTGCAGCAGCCACATATACACCACCACCTGGACCAAACTCACTCGTGGGTGGTGCAGCAGCCACATATACACCACCACCTGGACCAAACTCACTCGTGGGTGGTGCAGCAGACACAGGATGCTACGTCAGTGATGACTGATCATAGTGATGTCAGGTGGATTAAAGGTTTTTCCAAATTATCGTAAATAAAATTATCAATTTATCATAGTTTTTGGTATAGCATTATTGTTTTCCCTGTATAGGCCTGTTTTGGGCATTAGTGTTACCTTCTTTAGAGTTTCTACGGTGTCACCCCTTGATGGTGTCGCCCAGGGCTGCCCGTCTTCCCTTATGATGCCACTGTTGCCAGTGTTTTTTCTTTCCTGGCACTTAAAAACCTTCTCTGGAGAGGTTTTGGCTCCCCCCTTTTGTTTCCCATGGTCTGGAAGATTTACATCTTCTTGTCAATAGTGGTTGCTAGTTTTAAGTTCTTACATGACCCGTGGGAGCACTTACCACACAGACTGAATGCAATCCAAGCGTGACTTCGTCTGTTATTCTTTCTGCAGACTACACAGATTTTCATGAGGTATTTTGACAAATATGGATTTTATTTATTATAATTTCAATCCCATGCAATAATCTTTCCACCTGGTACACATGAATTTTTCTCTTGTGTAGCCTGGCTAGGTAAGCTTAATATGAAAGTATTTTGTTTTATATGTTGGAATAAATACTGTAGTCTGATATATATATAATATATATATATATATATATATATATATATATATATATATATATATATAATATATATATATATATATATATATATATGTCGTGCCGAATAGGCAGAACTTGCGATCTTGGCTTAAATAGCAACGCTCATCTTGCCATATAGGACAAGCGAAAATTTGTGTATGCAATAATCTCGCCAAAATCATTCTGAACCTAACGAAAAAAATATATATCACTGTGTTTGTTTAGTAATATATTATTGTAAACAAATCTAAAATATATTTAGTTGGGTTAATCTAAAATAAATTGTTCTTGTTATAATAAGGTTAGGTAAGTTTTCTAAGATGCTTTTGGAGCAAAATTAAAAATTTTTACATTAAAATTAATGAAAAAAATATATCTTTAAACGTATAAGAGAAAATTTTAGAAAGGACTTATTTTTAAATGAGTTCTTGCTAATTGACCAGTTTTACATATTCGGCACGACATATATATATATATATAATATATACATATATATATATATATATATATATAATAATATATATATATATATATATATATATATATATATATATATATATATATATATATATATATATATAATATATAGGATTTTGTATCTATGTATATTAAGCATTGTTTGTATACGTTGGTAATACTGCATTATTATTATTATTATTATTATTATTATTATTATTATTATTATTATTATTATTATTTGACTAGCGTGTTTGGTGAGCTGGTGACTGCTGGCAACTTCAACATCATGTTGAGGAACTTGTGGTCTCTGGCACCTCTCTCATCCTAGATTTTAGCCACTTATAGATCACCGTATTTAGCTTATCTAGATTTTTTTCAATTCCACCACACCAAGCACTACGGTGTCACTGTTATTAGCTGTGGTAATGACTGAAGGAAATGCTTCTGTTGTGTATACTGCGTTCATTATAGTGTATACTGCGTTCACTGTTTTGTATACCACACTATTGTGTATACTACGCTCACTATCGTGTATACTGCGTTTACTATTGTCTATACTACACACACTGTTGTGTATACTGCACTCACTATTGTTCATACTACGTTCACTATTGTGTATACTGCGTTCACTATTGTGTATACTGCATTCACTACTGCGCATTACGCGTTTGCTATTGTGTATACTGCACACACTATTGTGCATACTACTCTCACAATTGTGTATACTACACACGATAATGTGTATACTTCACTCACTATTGTGTATGCTGCGTTCACTATTGTGTATACTACACACACTATTGTATATAATGCTCTCACTATTGTGTATACTGCACACACTATTGCATGTCCTGCATGCACTATTGTGTATACTGCATTCACTAATGCGTATACTACGCTCACTGTTGTGTATACTGCATGCACTATTGTAAATACTGCACACACTGTTGTGTATTCTGCACACACTATTGTGTATACTGCCTTCACTATTGTGTATACTGCCTTCACTACTGTGTAAACTGCCTTCACTATTGTGGATACTGCATTCACTATTGTGTATTGTGCTCACACTATTGTGTATACTGCACACACTATTGTGTATACTGCACACACTAT